ATTTGTTTAAAAACAAACGAGCAGTCCATTTACGTCCAGTCTGAACAGTGAACGTTTGTCTGAACTGGATCTCAACAGAATGGAGTAAACCTGAGTGTTTTTGGTGCAAGATATTCAGGAGGGCAGCAGTTCCACAGCGCAGAAGAGCAGAGGGAGGGTTCGTTTTTGTTGTTTGTCTGAGGCAGAGCAGAGCGACGGGTCCTGGAGAGGACGGAGCAGTTTGAGCACACTTCAATTTATTTTTCACAAAATGCCTTTTAATAGAATTTCATGAGTATAAGTTAATTACTACCAAACAGTAAATTTATCATCATGCATGATATTCATATTTATAACAGTATTTTTAACGATTTTTATATTAAATGTTTTTTTTTAATTCAATGACAAGTACTGACAATAAACTTAAAGCAGGTTTATTTTACTATAGCATCTGCCAAAACTCCAGAGTTAACAAACTATTTATAATCGATTATAGTTCATTTATAACCCTAAAGTAACTGAACATTTTCTCTACCGCTCCGCTCGTTGTAAAGTAACTTTTAGAGTGTGACAAGTTGATGCCGGTCATTAATTAGCTGCTCATTAGCCTCTGCAGCGAGTCTGCAGTAGGTTGGATCTATTTCACCTGCTAATATGGAGCTCGTTGCAAACTTTTAAATCAAAACAACGTTACTTCAATAAAATTGAAGGGTGTTGCTGCTCTGGGAGACACGTGATGATTGTTAACCACCAGATAAAATGCTCAACCAGCTAGCATCTTGATTTAAAGAGCATAAATGTTTAGCTGTATTCTCCCCTCAGCTAACATGCACAACTTCAACACGGCTCAGAGCTACAGGTAGGAGAATATATATACCGGTATATAAAAAAAACCCACTTTAATTCTGGTTTAAACTGTAATTGTATGAAAGAAAAATATAGTATAATATAAATTATGTATGTATATAATAAATTTAAATGAAATATACCTTCAAACCTGTAACTGGCCCATGATGATACCAAGACTACCTGGACAGAACCAGGGTAAAGACAAACTGTAGCTGTCTGCCAAAGAACCCCCCCCCCCCCCCCCCCCCCCCACCCCCCCCCCCCCCCCCCCCCACACACACACACACACACACATTTACAAAGGTACAAGGAGATATGGTTTAAATAAAGTGTTCCTTCCTTCCTCTTTCCCCCGGTGTTGTGCCTGTTTACACTGCCTGTCGTTCTGTCGGCCGTCTCTCACGTCACTCCAGCAAAAACACACAGATCAGGTCACAAGTTCAGCCTCTGGATCAGCACTGGCACCGTGTCCTGCAGGTGCACTCAGCTGCTCCGGGGACGGCCAGCAAAGAAAAATATACGCAGGCCGAGAACAGGACGCAGCGTTACACACAGAGCCTCTGCAGCTAACGCTCCAGCTGCTTCAGCTGCAGCTTTAGCTCAGCACTGCAGCTGCTTTAGCTCAGCACACCTGAACACGCTTCAAGCTGCTTCAGCTCAGTTAATAAAAGAGATATTGTTTTCAGAAGGGCTGGATGATTGAATTTGATCATTAAGGCCCAATCAAAAGCCTACCAGGGTCTGGGAAAAGGTATTTTTTATTTATTTAATTGTTTGTTTATTGATTTGTTTTTTGATTGATTTATTTAGCATAGATCCCTGGCTCACCACGTTTTGTTTTATAAATGTAAAATGATTTCACCTTGTTAATTTAAGTAAAAGTAAAATGACATCAGGTCTCATGTACAGTTTATTTTACAGCTAACTTTATTTTTCAAAGAAACAGAGCCACCTGACAGAGCAACGAGTAGCGTGTTGTTGTTTTTTATTTACGGAATTATTTTATTTATTTTGTTGTTCTGTTTATTCCACAGTAGCTGTTAAACTTGGGGGGGAAACATTGCTGAAAATTAATTGCAATCTCGTTTGTGTGACATTGTTTTCCAAACGTCTTTTCCTGCAGATTTGTTGCACACAAAATATATTTTTTTGTCTTTTGCATTTATTTTTACGCAGCGCACTTTATTTTTATTAGCCTGGCCGACACTGACAAAAGATTTCAGTAACTTTCTGTTGCAGCGGTCTCGCTACGATTTAGATTCTGTTCATATCGGAGCAGAATTTTGAATAAAGCCGACATTCCCACGATAAACACGACAGCAAAACTAAGCATTGTGAAAAAGATATAACAGCAGCTGCAGGAATGTTTCTCCCTTCAACAAAAGGAAGCGTCTCCAACACGACAAGCCCAAGTTCTCCTGTGTGCAGCTCCATTAGCCGCCCTTCACATTAACAGGTTACCAGCTGAAGAGGAAGACGCAGCAGCGTGCAGGCAGGAAGCGCTCCAAGTTTCTTTGCCGAACCTTGGATGAACTCTGAAAAGCCGTAGGGAGTTAAACACTGTGCATATCTGTGTCACTCTCTTTACAGAACAACTTACCAAGACAACAGAAAGAGGAGCAGGCCAGCAGGCTTCAAAAAGCCCCCCCCCCCCCCGCCCACCCAGTCCTCCTGAGGCTGCAGCCAACCCAACAGAAAAAGGGCTCATGTTTCACTGGGTCACTTGCAGGAGTTTCAGCATGCTCAGATCATTTGTGACAAGCTTTCTCTCAGAATAGTTGTCGATAGTGTCTCGATCTGGTTTTGACGCCTGCTCTAGAACACGGGGGGCTAACGTCCTGCTCCAAGAGACACACGGACAACCTTAAAATAAACTATCCAAAGCTGCCTGGCTTCGGTTCTAAAGTGGACTCCAGCAGGTCAAATCATAAACACAGGGAAGTAGGGGTTGGGCGATATGGATCAAAATTAATATCTCGATATGTTTTCGATAAATCACGATACGATATATATCGCAATATTTTTTGCTTTCCATAAAGTAATAACAAAAATATATTTCTGAGTCAAAGCTTTGTCCTAGTTGTCACACAGGCACATTTATTAACAAACAGCTGTAACTGTACAAAATAAATGTCTAAAAAAAATAAACTCTTTACAAATATTAAATAATAATCTTCAGCTGCGCCGCCTTCACGACGTTAGTAAGCGTGTGTGAACTGCAGCTGCAGCTCCAACAGACTTCAGCCTCCTTCCCTGAAACAAACCACGGGTCAGAACTCATTTAGCCGTGCTGTGGCTTATGAGAGGAACACTGAGGTGGCGCAACATTAATAAAGTAGAGACTCATCATCTCGCTAAAGACTCTCAGTCTCAACTGTGGAACAAGACGGCTAAAGTTAGCTGTCTTGTTATGAACCATCATGCTCGGACCAGGAAGTTGACCAGGTGTCTTGTTCCACAGTTGAGACTGGAAACGTGTCTTTAGTGATATAAGCCACTGCTTTATTAATGTCACGCTACCTCTCACTGTTCCTCTCATAAGGCATAGCACGGCTAAATAAGTTTTGTACCGTGGTTTGTTGTTTGAAAAAGAACGACACAGATTTTCAAGTCTAATTATAACTCAACGTAGAAATATCGATATAGACGATATTGTCCCATCTTATATCGCGTATGAAATTATGCCGATGTTTTTAAAATATCGAGATATCGCCCAGCCCTACTACAAAGCCAGCGGAGGTGGGTTTGACGTGGGCAACTAAACAAAGTGCGATCCTTGAAGTCGGCACGACATCATCTGAAATTAAACGGCCATTTTCAATTGGGGGGAACTGTGTTGTGGACAGCTGTTAAACAAGTGAAGTACGATATTTAGTTTGTATCTCACAAATTTCTTGAAAAAAAATGCACGCATGTGAGGAAATGGATGCCCATAAACTGCCAGTGCACAGTGTGGCAGAAAGAGTGCATGTAAGACTTATTTCTAATAACTTACAGGTATATAGCTTTTAAATAAACGTTAATAATAAATATATTCAGAACCCTGATGGGATAATTGATAAAACACAAAAGACCATCAATTCACACTAATTTGAACGATATCGCCATCTAACTGGTGTAAAACCAGTTATTAAACAATTAAAGATTAAACAGCATGTCAAATATTTATAACAAATATATAACAGAGCAAAATTTAGTACGATTATACAAAATGCTTTGTCCGCTCACCTAGTGCTTTGGTTTTGTATGTTTTAGGTTACGTAGGTACATAGATAATCTTTATATTGTTAAAGTAACAAACCAGTGATAAAATGTGCCCAACATGTGCATGTGTGCGTGCTGCGCAGTGACCAATGCTTGCCTGCAGCAGCTCTCTGTGTTTCCCATCTCAGCCTTGCAGACAGAAAATGTAAACATTTTCTATCTGGATGTTTCTTCTTCTTAGACGTGCAATCATTTGCACAGCAGCTTTTCCCACAAACCAACATGTCAGCCTCCTTGCACTGTGTGCTCACCACACACTCGGACGCTCTGACATCGAGAGTACAGTTTTCCCAAGATAAAACGTCATTTTCCAGAATGAGCTGCTCAAATCGTGGCTGCACGGCTCACCGGTCGCCAACTAGCCTCTGCTGGCCCAGTGAGGTACAAGCTTTAGGCAGCCAGGTGAGTTCCTCTGAAACCCCTCGTGCTAAAATCCAACGTGAACAGCGGCCACCACAAAAGGTCAAGCGCATGTCGAACGACAACAAGAGCCTCCACCCTTTCTGTTCCATTTCACGCACTAATGAGTGTGAAAAAGCGAGACAGAGACGATGGCAGCTCAGTAGCGCATCAGCTTTGAGCTTCAAGTGAAAAGTCTGTAGAAATGTGACTCAAGCCTCCCGCGTTACTTTATTTTCCTCCAAGCAATTATTTAGCCGGCATGCTGCTTTAATAGAGAGAGAAGAAACATAATGGAGACAGATGTTCTCAGCAGACCTGACAGTTAACTCGCAAGAGGGAGACGTCGCTGAATGTGTGACAATTTCACTCCTACATAGCCGTGAGAATAAACTCCATCTATGTTGTGACAGGAAATGATGAAAAAAGATGGAGGTTCTGACTGCGAAACCATCCAAACGAGGAGGAAGAAGAAGCGCCGTGGCGCTGCCGAAGACAAACGGACCTACCTGTTTTCTCTTTGATTTCACACAGGACGTTGAAAAGAGCCGGCTTCATCCGGTGACAGTTCAGAGCGTGTTTCCTGGAAGAGACGAGAGGATCCGTGAGCAAAACAAAGCAGGAAAAGCAGCTTAAATAAGAACGCTGCACCTGTCTTGTTTTGAAATTCCAGGCTCAAATTTCCAGACTCCGTCACTGATTTACAGCCGTTTGGACATAAAGTACATTTTACTGTGCGTTCAGCAGCCTGTACGCAAAGAGGGGTCGCAGGAACGGACCGAGACAAAATGTGTTCTGATTTAGAAAAGAGCTTTGACTTGTAGCTCACCAACACATTTAACACATAATATCTGCAAATGTAGAATAGCTGAACATATTTCCACTTGTTTCTTTGTATTTTCCTTATATATATATATATATATATTTAAGCAGCACTAAAAAAAAATTAAATTCACTCTGCTTTCTGTGATTTTTTTATTCTTGTCTGAGTTTTAACGACTAAAAATGAACTTCATTCTGGAAACAGAAACTCCATTTGTTTCATGTTTTTTTTTTTAAGACCAGGAGAATCCTAATAGCCAAATTGAGACTTTTTCAGTGTGAGCACCTGCTGCTGTCATTTCTGATGAAATCAAAATGTTGCAAATATTGACCCAATAATACACAGGACCTGCAGCTTTAACTACTTTGGCTGTTAAGGGGTTTAAAATTACACACTTTCTAAAATACATTATTACACTTTTATGTAAGTTTAATTGGAGTATGACAGATTAATCTTGTAATTATGATTGAGTTATTTTCAGAACCTGGACGTGTTCATAAATTACTGTTTATAAACCGCTACACTTTTATTATATCCAATTAATTAGTTACTTTTTCAATTTTTCCTTAAACACTGAACTTTTTTTTTTTTTTTTTTTTTTTTTTTGCAGCTGGACATGTTTTTGTGACTCCTCTTTGGAGCTTCCTGAGCTCAACCCAGGAGCTGCAGAACTTTTTAACCTTTAAGAAACTCTGAAGAGAGTTGCTGTGTTCATTCAAGCTCAACTCACATGCACATGAGGCTCCCTTTTCTCCCTCCTGAGGGTCTTTGCTGCAGTTTTATACCTTGAAACGCTCCAATTTTCTGTTTGAATTGAGGAAACTGTCCAAACTGAATTAAAGTCCAGTCTTTGCTGCTTCTAAAAATTGTTCTGGATGACTGAAAATCGACACAATTAATTCTTATTATCTGAATAAGTTAATCTGATTTATTATTATTTATTCATGTGCTTGCACATGTTTGTTGTTGCATTTCTGTTTATAATAATGCAAATTGTTTAGATTTGGTACGGGACCCATTTCAGTAGAAATAACAGGATGTTGTGCAGCTTTTCTGGTTTTCGTCACGACAGTCAGAGAAGAGCTGAAAGAAACTGGACTGGATGTTCACACCGAGTTTAATTTGTCCTGTTCATCTGTAACATTAATCCTTTTTCAGTTTGAACGATTAACCAGAAAATAAACACCCTAACAACAGCTAAAGAGGGAACTTTTTTATTTATTATTTTTTTATTTGGAACTACTGTTATCTTTTACTATTTAGTTTTATGTTAAAGAACAGGTTTATGTTTTAAATTCTACATTTCGTTTTTCTAATATGAGTCTGTCATGTTATATAGAAAAATAAACAACTGAATTTTGAAGAATTTCCTGAAATGTATTTTCCCACTGACAGCTTCTATAAAACTAAAATATGACCATAATATCTTGCCTTTTCTTGTGGGTGTACTTTGGTGAATTTTCATTGAAAACAACAGAAACAAACAATTACCAGTAATTCTTATTTAAATGTCCACAAATCAGCAGTGGACATAATGACAGCTATTTTCATCTTTTAGTGTGTTTAATATTAGCATTAATCTTAGATTACCTTATAATATAAAGGTTGCTGTTGAATACCCTGCTTAATTCTGCTACTTTTAAAACTTTTGTTTTGCGTTGCTTTTTACAAAATAAAACGTGTAAAAGTGTCAAATCAAACGGGAGAGTTTCGAGGACTTTTAAAGCCTCGCTTTAGGATCTCTGCTCTGAAGCAAACTAAAGCGTAAAACTCATTTTTTTTAATTTAGATATTCGGTTTGCAACACGTCAACAATAAACATACAGGCCATATTTTATGTTAAGTCGCTCGGAAAGTGCAGTTTTAATCCAAACTAAGAGATTTAAGCCACTAAACGCTATGGTCGCTCCGTCGGCTTCTCTTTGAAGTGCTTTGATGTGCCGCCGCCGCGCGCGCCGCAGCTCCTACCTGGCCTGGGCTTCGTCCAGACTCTGGTCCGTGATGGTCATGATTTGCTGTAAAATGTCTCCGATGTCCTGCTTCCTGCCGTCGCCGTCGGCTCCTCCGCCGCCGTCCTGCATGTGCGGCGGCAGGCCGGGGTGCCCCGCCATGCCCAGCCCGGTGTGAGGGTGCATCAGCCTCGGCTGCTCGTCCATGTCTGCTGCCGCCCTCTAGCTGCTGCTGTGCGCCTCGAAACGCATCAATAAGAGGAGCGGAGGAGATCCAGAGGTCTGCGCGACTTGTTCCTGCGCAGGAGCGTCCGGGAGCGGAACAACAAGAAGCTGCTTCCAGAGACCTCAGCTCAGCTGGTCCGAGCTGAACGTGATCGGGACCGGGCTGCGGGTTCAAAACCTGACAGACAGCCGCAACCACTGGCAGCGCGCGCACCGATCCAGAACCCGTCTCTCTTCCAGAATGCGAAAGCAAAAAGTGCGCGGAAGAGCTGAAAGGCGAGGATTCACCTCAGTCCCTCCATCCTCCGGCTGCTCGTCAGGTCCAGAGCGGAGCTGCCCGGAGAGGCGGAGGTAGAGGCGAGAGGAGCGCGAGACGCAGACTCCGCCCGCGCGACGTGATTGGAAACGCGCTGAGTTTAGCCCCTCCTACTGGAGAGGGCCTGGGCTGCCTGGTGGTGACCTCAGCACAGGCCCCCACGGTCCCCACCAAAAAACACCGAGCCCACAACCGCTGGATTCTCCACATCTGTTGGCATAATAAACAAGCCATGTAACCCCCCCGGACAGGTTTGAATAGTGAAAGTTTGTGGTTTTGGAGACGAGTGTTTAGTGACTGGAGAGTGAAGGGGGCAATTTATCCACCACCAGGAGCAGTGGAGTAGCCAGAGGGTGGCCAATGGTGGCCTTGGTCACCATAGATTAACCTTCAGCCACCCCAAGGACCACCCCAATCATATATAGTTTCCAAAAATGGTAGGAGTGTCTTGTTTATACCTATGCATTCTGGTCACGCTTGATTATTTTAAATAAAGAATGCATGCGGCATAGATTGTTTATTGAAGCTATTACAATATTTAAATTTAAATTGTTTATTTACACAGAAGGCGGTATTGAGAGTGACACGTGGCAGAGAGCGGAGATCATGACGTGCTGTGCTCTTTTAGAACGTTTAGAGTTTAGAAACATTGTTTAGAACATTTCAAGAGTGTGGGAAGAGTTTATAAAGTGTTAATATATATTGTACATAAATACTAAAATCAAAATAACATCCTTACTTTGCAGTTTTTCTCTTATTGTGGGCGTGTCCAGAATGTAAACTCTGCAATGAACAAGAGACTACTGTATTGTTAATATCCATCATCAAAAGGCAGCCATAATGTGTGTGCACATTATTTTGAAGATTTGACCAAAAGGCTAAAACGCCGCCATTTTTTAAGGTAAGATGATTTTATTTTAAAAATCTATCCTGAAAAGCAGTGAGTTATCTGCATTCATTCAACCTTTATTTATACAGGTTAGTTCCCATTGAGCCTCGAGGACTCCTTTACAAGAGTGAGTTAGTGTTAGAGTGAGTGAGTTATTTTCATACCTTCAGGAAAGGCGGCGTCTATTTATTCTATGTTTTGTCTCGTATTAAGTTTTGTTTTTGAACTTAATCTTTGTTGGTTGGCTCAACAGTGAAGCACGAGCTTTACTGAGCCACATGCAATGGTAGAGATATTATTTGGTTTTCTACCACCTGCTGTTAAGTAATTTCAATGCTTGCATTAGTGATGGGAATGCAACCAGAGGGGGAAAGGACATGTGAGGGAGCTCCAGAGTTTCTGCACTCCAACAGTCTTCATCGGTGATATTTTACTAACTAATCCAAGTTGATTTTGATATTGCAGCTTCGTTGTTTTGACCAATGCATCACTGAATGTTCTCTTGCTGATAGAGAGCCTACACCTGGTAGGGAGTACAAGATATAAATGAACACTCTTTTCACCTCTTCTACATTCTTTGCTAACTCCTCCTTCAGGACCACCCCTACTCTGTTTTTCTTTCTATCCACACCATGGTAAAACAGTTTGAACCCTGATCCAATACTGTGAGCCTTGCTGCCCTTCCACTTGGTCTCTTGGACGCATAAAACATCTACCTTCCTTCTCTGCATCATGTCAGCCAGCTCTCTATCTTTGCCTGTCATTGTCCCCACATTTAGATTTGCAACCCTCAGTCCTACATTCTTGACTTTCCTCTTCTCCCTCTGTCTCCCGACACGTTTCCCTCCTCGTGGTTTTTGACTAACAGTAGCACAATTTCTGCCGGCACCTTGTTTGTCAACATCACCGGTGGCGGTCGTTGTTAACTCGGGCCTCGACTGATCTGATATGGTGTTGCTCAGATGAACTTGTATATTAGTTATGGCAAAAGTGTTTTACGTCGGAACCACTTCTTGACGCAACCCTCACCATTTACCCAGGCTTGGGACCAGTACAAGCGATACACTGGTTTGTGCTCCCTAGTAACTGTTTTCTTTTTTTGCAAAACTGAAACTAGAAGCTAAAATTAACAAGAATATAGCTTAAAACTAACATTAGCAAGACAGCACATAAAAAGAGCATCAAATGTAAATTTAAAAAAAAGAGCAAGTGTGCTGAGGTGCATTTTAGGAAGAAATAAACTGTTGAAAATTTTTGAAAATCTGTGCATTTCAATTGATAAAAATGATGTGAATAAAGTTTTAAAAAAGAGGAAGATAACAAATGCTAAAAGTCATAGCACACTGTTCCAGATTGAGCCTAACATTTTGGTGGAGGTAGAGGCGAGAGGAGTGCGAGAAGCAGACTCCGCCCGCGCGACGTGATTGGAAACGTGCTGAGTTTAGCCCCTCCTGCAGGAGAGGGTCTGGGCTGCCTGGTGGTGACCTCAACAGAGGCCCCCACTGTCCCCACCAATTTTTTATTTTTTTTTATTAAAAAATGGCACCAAGTTTGCAAAAAAAAAAAAAAAAAAAAAAATATATATATATACACACTCTCTCTCTCTCTCTCTCTCTCTCTCTCTCTCTCTCTCTCTCACACACACACACACACACACACACACACCCACACACACACACACACACACACTGTATGTGACAATGCTCTGTATCAGTAAAGCACTGCATAAAATGTTGTGGCGTAAAGTTGATTTCAAGTGTAGCCAGAGCCAGGTTTACCATCACTGGGGCCCTTCGTTCACATTAAAACCATTCAGTAGATTTTTTTGCTTTAAGTGTGTCCCGCATGTTTACATCCAGGCCAGTGATTTATACAGCTGTGCTCATACTTTATTTCCACACTGGGGCTTATTTTTCTATCCCTCCTCCTCCTTCTCGTCTTCCTCGCCTCTGAATGGCTCTTGATGGAGGAGAGCAGCAGCAGTGAGGCTGTGCTGGGCCTGAAGGGCACTTTTCAGCCTGGCCAGACACACTCAGGTCTTGCTGCTTGGCTGCGCAGCATGGGTCACCGCCTTACATTAGGAGCACCCTGCCAAAGTCAGCCAAGCGCAGCCCTGCAACATACCTGTAAATGAATGAACAAAGTCTGTGTGCCTTCGCCAACAAAATAAAGCGTGTCTGACTGTTGTACTGCCTGGTTAACATTTACATCACCAATGACCAAAAGGTATGTTTTATTCTCTCTGAGTCTCATTATCCTCCAATGCCAAAAGCAAAAGGGTGATAATGTTTTTACCTGTTTGTCTCTTTGGCTGGAGCAAAATGTCTCATGAACCACAGCACCAACTTTAATGAAGCTCTCAGAAAGTAATCATTGGATATATATCGACATGTCATGGAGTAAAAACAATTGCCAAGTCTTCATGCAAGTTGGTTCACTGTGGCAACCCTTGAAGAAGAGAGGAGCCAAAAGAAGAAGAAGAACATAGTTAGCAGACTGGTAAGACAAATGTAAAAAGGTATGTGAGTTTATTTACAACATGCTTGAAGAAATTGTTGCTGTAAAGGAAAGGAGAAGATGAGTACGGTCAGTTGTCAAGATATTTGATGATAGGAAATTGTTTTGTTTCTTGTCTTACTTGTGGCTGTTTGCAGGTACCATTGAAGGGGGGAGAGAAACGAGGTCCTAGGATTCCAGAGGAAGATGAAGATGTGATCCAGAATGGTGAGTAATGTTGTAGAGAGTGACAGGTTGAAGCTGGTCAGTGTTTGCAGGCTGATAATTAGTGTTTGCAGGAACAGGATGACAGCAGGTCGAGATCATGAGGAGTGAGGGGGATTTGGGATACACAGAGGAGCAGGACTTGGAAGTCACAAGAACATTCAAAAAGTTAGTACAAAAATCACAAGAGAACGTTACTATGTCAAGTAACCCAGGTATCATAACGTTCCAGCGTCGGATGACTGACTGACAGGGATTTAAGTACCCAGCAGAGAAGGCATCAGGATTAGGTGCAGATGTGGAGAGGTGGATGACTGAATGGCAATCAGCTGTAGGGAAAGTGGTTATGGCTGAAAACCTAGGGAATCTATGGGCAGTGGCCCACAAGGACCACGGTTGGAGACTTCTGCTCCAGAGGGCTCAAGAACAACGTCTAATCCCATTTGGGTATGCTTTTTCCAAGTGCCTTATCTGAATATATTTATGATACTTTTAGATTTAACCTTATTTTTTGCTGATTATTCTGTTTTTAGCTTGTGCTACATTGAGTTATAACAAATCAGTTTCAGCTTTTTCTTGAAAGTCATTCAGCACTCTGAGTTTTTACCAAGAATGCTGTTTTAACAGAGGCAGGATCCTTTAACCATCCATGCTCATGATATATGGTCCCCAGTCCCGGAGCACAGAGGTGGAATTGGAAATATCCTCTGTCTGTCCGTCTGTGCATGTTGTGAGCATGATAATTTGAAAAATAAGTGAGGTACCAACTTTCATTTTTATGTCTAGGTGGAAGAAAGGTCATTACTGAAAAATGAGTTGCCGCATTAAACTCTAAAATGGCCACCAAGCTCCATGGCTCCAGTGCTGCAGCATGACAGCTGACTTTCTCCTCTGTTTTATATGAGGAGAAAGTCAGCTGTCACTCTGCAGCGATGGAGCTGTGGATCGATCGATTGATCAATCGCCATTGCCATCGATCGATGGCTCTATCACAGGTGAAAAGGTGAAGCTGCGATGACGTCAGAGGGAAAGGAGCTTTTGGACAAATCACGAGATATGTAAGCAAAAGTCCGACAAACACTCACCAGAATGTGGAAATCCGCTCTGAGGACTGAACTCCTGAGTCCGGGGTCTGAGTTTGTGGTCGAAAATATAGGTGTGGGTCATCCACAGAAGCAGAAAAAGCAAAAGTTATTCGAGAGGCTTTAGCTGGAATTGGTGGTCTGAAGAGCAGACATCGAGGTCCAGATATCCATTGACCAGAAGAATCCATCTTGGGGAGGCAACGGAGAGGAATCCATGTTATGAAGTGGGTCAGGAACAGAGCAGGAACCAAAACGCTGGATTACTTCATGCATGAGGCGATCAGACATTCTGCAGACACTCGGGAGCACTTTAAGAAG